TGGGAGTTGAAGTCCACTCATCTTAAAGTGGCCAAGTTTGGACAATACTGCCCTAAAGGCACACCTTCGGGGGGGGATAATTCTCTCACAGGAGAGCTGCAAGGATAAAAAAAGGAGCAGGGGCATGTATATTACCCTAGGCTCTTGTAATATTACACACTATTAAATAAATAATGCTGTTACTTGCCTGATAGGCTATTGATGGCCACTATTCATAATGGCAGTATATTGTTATGCCTCTATAAAACAATCACCTGCTCTGTTGCCCTTTAGCTCTTGTTGGTAGAAAATTTAGTATGGGACAGGTTCTTGGTCTGAACTAACGCAGTCTTCTTACATTCTTGCGTGTCACAACTAAAGGAAATGTCTAGCTTCAGAAACAAGATTTCCTGAATCCCAGTTGCCAGAGGATGAACCACAAGGAGGGCTGTTCTTACATATAAAGCAGGTCCTGTCCAGTGAGCTCTGCCTCCTTTTCCTTTCATGAGAAATTAATCTGTTGACAAGGACTTAATGTTGGGGGTAGGGTCTTCCTCAACCAGGATACCATTCAGATGTGTGATCTTCAAATACCAGAGGTTTTAGCAATAGCCATGCTGGCTGGAAAATCTTGAGAGCTGAAATCTGCATATCTGGAGGGTATCCAGGGTGAAAAACCTGGCACAGAAGGATACACATAATCTCACCTTTTATTTTTCTGTGACAATAGTCTCCTATCTGAAACCAGGATGGCCAGACAGGCCAGCTGTGTGCCTAACACTTTCCCAGCAGGATGATTCAACTCTCAAAACCTCTACTTTGCCCATCACAGAGGATAAGATATAGGAACCTGAATATGCAGGAACTGGAGTGTAGGCATAAGGACAAGCAGCATGGAAGACACATAGCAAAGAAAAAGTTATTCATTCCTCATAAATTTGCTCCTGTTTTTTTTTAAATTTTTTCTTTTAAAGAGCAGTGGTGGAATTTGGTCTTTGAAAGGGGGGGGGGGAAGTTGCCAACCTTTAAGTCTCCAGTTAGTGTGGGCTGCACCCAAGGGCAAAATGCAGCCTGTTGAACAGCAACAAGGAGCATGTTTTTATGTGTGACTTGGCAGGCAAGAGCAATCTGCAAGTTTTCCATCCCGTACTGTTTCAGTAATAGCTGAAGAATGAAGATAAAAAGATTAGTAGCCATAATGTAACGTTGCACATTTATTTCCTAGAATAGGCGTATGCATCTTTAGATCTACAGACGAAGCTATAAACTTGCTTAAGCTGTATTTGTATTCAGATGCAGGACTGATTTTATATGGAATTTAGAAGCAATAATATCTACTTCAGAAGGTCTCCCAGTCAACCTTGACTCCAGATAATGATATGTGCGTGTAACATTCCTGGCAGCAATACCTAAGGTTTTGCCATTGCTTTTTTTCCCAGGTTACACACATGCGCACACATACTACATAGAGAGAGACGTCCCAGTCTACGCTATAGCCTTGGCATTTCCAGATGGTCTTTTATTCAAGTTATCACCATGTCTGACACTGCGTAGCATTTTCAAGATTAGCCAAAATTAACCAGATGCTGCCATCTTCTATGACAACAGCTTAGCACAAAACAAATAAAATCAAATGCCATAGACAAGAAGGAAATGGAAACAAGTAACGTTGGTCACAAGATATCCAGTGAAAATGCAGAAGCCGTAGTCACTTCAGCAATTAAAAGTGATTGATTAAAATCAGTGATTGATTTTTCCATCCCAGACCTCTGCTGTACGTGGCTCTGCTGAGTACAGCTCTGGATCCACCTCACGTAAAATATTTAATACTGGTTCCTTGGAATCCAAATATATTTTCTCTTCTTTTCTCTTCAGTATCTTTTTTCTGCTTTGGCTAGATCATGTTAGGGTTTGGATTCATACCCAGTTCTTCATCTTCAGAAAGTTAATTTTTTACCAAAGGCTTCAGAATGACAAAATTGTTGTGTAACATGATTTTCTGTATAGTTTTGAACTGCATTTCTAGCTTCAAGATTTGTTCAAAATTTAGATGCTAAGAGATGCAAATCTTCAAGTAATGAAATATTTATTTATTTATTTATTTATTTATTTATTTATTTATTTATTTATTTATTTATGGAATGTATAGGCCAACCCAATCTTTTATGACTCTGGGCAGAAGTAGTCATAAATGCTGCTGCTTTAGTACAAAACAAAACAAATGGGAAATGGGCAGGAAGAGTAAAATAAACTAATATAACAGCCTTGAGACTGGAATAAAAATATTTCAGTTACCTGCAGAATGCTCTCTCTGGTACGAAAGCTAAATTTTCCAATTTGATTGTCAATATCTTGGATATCTAACATTAAACTGGAAGGAATGTATCTGCAAAAGAAAACAATATCTAAATTTTTCAGAAATGAAAGTGCCAACCCTTCTACATCTAGAAATTACATGAAAGATTATCCTTGTCCTCATCACAAATAATTTCAGCTTTCCTGTTTATGCAGAATATATATTTTAATAGTATCTCTGAAGATTATTTAAAATGTCATATTTGCAAATAATCCCAGCCCAATATTTCAGCTGTAGTTTTTAAAAATGCAAACATGGACTGTTTCTTCCAATTTGGGATGTGTATATTTCTTTATATCAATATCAAATTATTTATTTATCAAATATCTCTCTCACTTTTTTAGTCTAGCAACATTTCTAAATGCTAGTGCCAATTTCTGAAATATGTGAGCTAATGTAACTAAGGAAAAAAAGATAAAGGATTATATTACTGGATTCTGATATTGGGAGGTGGAAAGCTAATACCTGTACCATGAAACATTGCACATAAGCCAACATCGATCTTGGGAGTTTTATTTGGGAGTTTATATCTGCTTTTTGTAATGATTTTTTAAAATTATTTTTGATGTTCTGATGTTCTGTTTCCCTTTGTTTGATGCTGTATACTACCCAGAGATCTTTGGGGCTGGGGTGGATTATAAGTGCTATAAATGAATGTTTGTATTTGGGGAATATTTGTAGTATGGTGGCCACAGAGTAGATCAGAACTCTGGGTCTAAATACCGAGGGCTGAAAGATTCTTGGGTAAACTGTTAGCAGTTGCGCATCCTTACCATCAAAAAGCAGGATGGCAGCTCTGGGGTTTGGTTTTGTTTTGCTTTCAAGTAAATTGCTGTGAACATTCAGTTATCAGGGACCTAGGAAAATCTGAATTAGGCTAGAGCCAGCCCCATTAAATCTGGCAGAGAAAAGTAGATTCTGTGCCATTTATGTACATTTCCTAATTCCCTTTGTGAATTTACATGAACTTTTAATTTTATTATTATTCAGTTAAACTACAAAGTCTTCAATGTTGGGTAGAAGTAAGGCATGAAATGTGAATGTACCAAAGCCCGAATAAGAATAACATTCTGAATGATAGAACGTTGTCCTCCTTTCTTTCCTTTGCGATCTGTATCCACCTTGTGCTCCCAAATCTGCTCCAAACAGCCCTCTAACTCAGGGAGTTGCAAACGTTTTCAGGCTGCAGAACCCATTGATAATAAATTGGTAATAAATAAACCCATTGGTAATAAATGAGTCCTGGAATCCCTGATTAAGAGACTGATAGAAAAGTTCTTCAAGTTAAGCCTTCTCTCCCCTTCCTCTTACACAGAACCCCACCACGTTCTCATAGAATCTTAGGGTGCTACAGAACACAGTTTTAAAAGCCCTGCTCTAACTGTCCAGAACAGACTTTTAGGTCAACCAAAGGCTGGAAGGTTCATTCATTCATTCATTCATTCATTCATTCATTCATTCATTCAATTTATAAAGCCATATATATGACTCTGGGCAGCTCACAAACAATAAAAAACAATATAAAAACACCAATGCAATACAATAGATCATTATCGTTATGCCCATCTTAGTTCCACAGACAGAAGGAGAAGAAAAGTGTATTGGATTCCACCTAAGAGAAATGTGTGTGACAAGAAGTAGCTGTGCTATGGGGATTAGAAAAAGGGAGGGGAAAGAGTAAGATGGCAATTACACAATAGAAAGAAGGGCGGAAGTCAAAATTCGATGTTTTCTTTTTTTCACTTTTCTTCTTTTTAATTCTTCTTTTTTTTCTTTTTCTTATTTTTCTTTTCATTTTTTATACTTTTCTTGCATTGTAAAATTCTAACGAAAATATTTTAAAAAAGGAATACCTGTTCTATATCAAACTATTAATTGTATCTTCAGAATGTGAAGCAGGTATTATTAAGTTCATTGTTGATTTATGCATGCTTTTATTTTCTGAAAGGCCTATAAGATTCTGGCTTACCTATCCACGTTAAAGTCATGATCTTCTAGAAGTGAAGTGATGAATATTGGTGAGAGCTGGTCAGCCTTCTCTTTGTGAGTTGCACATTCAAAGTACACAGGCCTTAAGTACAAATGGAAGTCACCAAAGCCCATTTCTTCTGCAAATTCTTTGTACAGTCTAAGCAGAAAAAGAATGTACACATTTGAAATAACTCCTTATAGTGGTTGCTGTGCAGACACAAAACACACACACACATTGTCTGTCATAATATTCTTTTGAGTTTCGTACACAGAGAAAATAAATGCATTTGTATAACATTCCAAATCATGGTTTCACTTTGTCTACTGCTCAAGTCATTTTTGCTGACACCTTCCACAAGTGGGTGCTGATAAACTATATGCAATTTTGTCCTTGATTTGTTAGTGTGATTTCTGTATCAAGGATTCTGACTTATTTCTTTTGGATTTTTTCCATGGCTAGATTGGCATGGAATAAACCAGAGTCTCAGGTTTAGGCAACATGCTGTTCATTCACTGCTAAGCCAAATTATAGTTTGGGTTGTCAGGCAAACACAAGTAGAGGGTTTTGGGGTATTAAGTTTATAATATTTTCTAACCAATTGTCAGGTTCGGTCAGCACGAGGCTTCAGGGAAGCACGGGGCTGCAGGGAAGCTTGCAAC